ATGAGAGAATGTTCTATGTGTCTAGCTGGTGAGGAGGATGGGGCAGTAGGGAAGGGGGAATCGCAGGCAGAAGCGGTGGAGGGATGAGAGAATGTTCTATGTGTCTAGCTGGTGAGGAGGATGGGGCAGTAGGGAAGGGGGAATCGCAGGCAGAAGCGGTGGAGGGATGAGAGAATGTTCTATGTGTCTAGCTGGTGAGGAGGATGGGGCAGTAGGGAAGGGGGAATCGCAGGCAGAAGCGGTGGAGGGATGAGAGAATGTTCTATGTGTCTAGCTGGTGAGGAGGATGGGGCAGTAGGGAAGGGGGAATCGCAGGCAGAAGCGGTGGAGGGATGAGAGAATGTTCTATGTGTCTAGCTGGTGAGGAGGATGGGGCAGTAGGGAAGGGGGAATCGCAGGCAGAAGCGGTGGAGGGATGAGAGAATGTTCTATGTGTCTAGCTGGTGAGGAGGATGGGGCAGTAGGGAAGGGGGAATCGCAGGCAGAAGCGGTGGAGGGATGAGAGAATGTTCTATGTGTCTAGCTGGTGAGGAGGATGGGGCAGTAGGGAAGGGGGAATCGCAGGCAGAAGCGGTGGAGGGATGAGAGAATGTTCTATGTGTCTAGCTGGTGAGGAGGATGGGGCAGTAGGGAAGGGGGAATCGCAGGCAGAAGCGGTGGAGGGATGAGAGAATGTTCTATGTGTCTAGCTGGTGAGGAGGATGGGGCAGTAGGGAAGGGGGAATCGCAGGCAGAAGCGGTGGAGGGATGAGAGAATGTTCTATGTGTCTAGCTGGTGAGGAGGATGGGGCAGTAGGGAAGGGGGAATCGCAGGCAGAAGCGGTGGAGGGATGAGAGAATGTTCTATGTGTCTAGCTGGTGAGGAGGATGGGGCAGTAGGGAAGGGGGAATCGCAGGCAGAAGCGGTGGAGGGATGAGAGAATGTTCTATGTGTCTAGCTGGTGAGGAGGATGGGGCAGTAGGGAAGGGGGAATCGCAGGCAGAAGCGGTGGAGGGATGAGAGAATGTTCTATGTGTCTAGCTGGTGAGGAGGATGGGGCAGTAGGGAAGGGGGAATCGCAGGCAGAAGCGGTGGAGGGATGAGAGAATGTTCTATGTGTCTAGCTGGTGAGGAGGATGGGGCAGTAGGGAAGGGGGAATCGCAGGCAGAAGCGGTGGAGGGATGAGAGAATGTTCTATGTGTCTAGCTGGTGAGGAGGATGGGGCAGTAGGGAAGGGGGAATCGCAGGCAGAAGCGGTGGAGGGATGAGAGAATGTTCTATGTGTCTAGCTGGTGAGGAGGATGGGGCAGTAGGGAAGGGGGAATCGCAGGCAGAAGCGGTGGAGGGATGAGAGAATGTTCTATGTGTCTAGCTGGTGAGGAGGATGGGGCAGTAGGGAAGGGGGAATCGCAGGCAGAAGCGGTGGAGGGATGAGAGAATGTTCTATGTGTCTAGCTGGTGAGGAGGATGGGGCAGTAGGGAAGGGGGAATCGCAGGCAGAAGCGGTGGAGGGATGAGAGAATGTTCTATGTGTCTAGCTGGTGAGGAGGATGGGGCAGTAGGGAAGGGGGAATCGCAGGCAGAAGCGGTGGAGGGATGAGAGAATGTTCTATGTGTCTAGCTGGTGAGGAGGATGGGGCAGTAGGGAAGGGGGAATCGCAGGCAGAAGCGGTGGAGGGATGAGAGAATGTTCTATGTGTCTAGCTGGTGAGGAGGATGGGGCAGTAGGGAAGGGGGAATCGCAGGCAGAAGCGGTGGAGGGATGAGAGAATGTTCTATGTGTCTAGCTGGTGAGGAGGATGGGGCAGTAGGGAAGGGGGAATCGCAGGCAGAAGCGGTGGAGGGATGAGAGAATGTTCTATGTGTCTAGCTGGTGAGGAGGATGGGGCAGTAGGGAAGGGGGAATCGCAGGCAGAAGCGGTGGAGGGATGAGAGAATGTTCTATGTGTCTAGCTGGTGAGGAGGATGGGGCAGTAGGGAAGGGGGAATCGCAGGCAGAAGCGGTGGAGGGATGAGAGAATGTTCTATGTGTCTAGCTGGTGAGGAGGATGGGGCAGTAGGGAAGGGGGAATCGCAGGCAGAAGCGGTGGAGGGATGAGAGAATGTTCTATGTGTCTAGCTGGTGAGGAGGATGGGGCAGTAGGGAAGGGGGAATCGCAGGCAGAAGCGGTGGAGGGATGAGAGAATGTTCTATGTGTCTAGCTGGTGAGGAGGATGGGGCAGTAGGGAAGGGGGAATCGCAGGCAGAAGCGGTGGAGGGATGAGAGAATGTTCTATGTGTCTAGCTGGTGAGGAGGATGGGGCAGTAGGGAAGGGGGAATCGCAGGCAGAAGCGGTGGAGGGATGAGAGAATGTTCTATGTGTCTAGCTGGTGAGGAGGATGGGGCAGTAGGGAAGGGGGAATCGCAGGCAGAAGCGGTGGAGGGATGAGAGAATGTTCTATGTGTCTAGCTGGTGAGGAGGATGGGGCAGTAGGGAAGGGGGAATCGCAGGCAGAAGCGGTGGAGGGATGAGAGAATGTTCTATGTGTCTAGCTGGTGAGGAGGATGGGGCAGTAGGGAAGGGGGAATCGCAGGCAGAAGCGGTGGAGGGATGAGAGAATGTTCTATGTGTCTAGCTGGTGAGGAGGATGGGGCAGTAGGGAAGGGGGAATCGCAGGCAGAAGCGGTGGAGGGATGAGAGAATGTTCTATGTGTCTAGCTGGTGAGGAGGATGGGGCAGTAGGGAAGGGGGAATCGCAGGCAGAAGCGGTGGAGGGATGAGAGAATGTTCTATGTGTCTAGCTGGTGAGGAGGATGGGGCAGTAGGGAAGGGGGAATCGCAGGCAGAAGCGGTGGAGGGATGAGAGAATGTTCTATGTGTCTAGCTGGTGAGGAGGATGGGGCAGTAGGGAAGGGGGAATCGCAGGCAGAAGCGGTGGAGGGATGAGAGAATGTTCTATGTGTCTAGCTGGTGAGGAGGATGGGGCAGTAGGGAAGGGGGAATCGCAGGCAGAAGCGGTGGAGGGATGAGAGAATGTTCTATGTGTCTAGCTGGTGAGGAGGATGGGGCAGTAGGGAAGGGGGAATCGCAGGCAGAAGCGGTGGAGGGATGAGAGAATGTTCTATGTGTCTAGCTGGTGAGGAGGATGGGGCAGTAGGGAAGGGGGAATCGCAGGCAGAAGCGGTGGAGGGATGAGAGAATGTTCTATGTGTCTAGCTGGTGAGGAGGATGGGGCAGTAGGGAAGGGGGAATCGCAGGCAGAAGCGGTGGAGGGATGAGAGAATGTTCTATGTGTCTAGCTGGTGAGGAGGATGGGGCAGTAGGGAAGGGGGAATCGCAGGCAGAAGCGGTGGAGGGATGAGAGAATGTTCTATGTGTCTAGCTGGTGAGGAGGATGGGGCAGTAGGGAAGGGGGAATCGCAGGCAGAAGCGGTGGAGGGATGAGAGAATGTTCTATGTGTCTAGCTGGTGAGGAGGATGGGGCAGTAGGGAAGGGGGAATCGCAGGCAGAAGCGGTGGAGGGATGAGAGAATGTTCTATGTGTCTAGCTGGTGAGGAGGATGGGGCAGTAGGGAAGGGGGAATCGCAGGCAGAAGCGGTGGAGGGATGAGAGAATGTTCTATGTGTCTAGCTGGTGAGGAGGATGGGGCAGTAGGGAAGGGGGAATCGCAGGCAGAAGCGGTGGAGGGATGAGAGAATGTTCTATGTGTCTAGCTGGTGAGGAGGATGGGGCAGTAGGGAAGGGGGAATCGCAGGCAGAAGCGGTGGAGGGATGAGAGAATGTTCTATGTGTCTAGCTGGTGAGGAGGATGGGGCAGTAGGGAAGGGGGAATCGCAGGCAGAAGCGGTGGAGGGATGAGAGAATGTTCTATGTGTCTAGCTGGTGAGGAGGATGGGGCAGTAGGGAAGGGGGAATCGCAGGCAGAAGCGGTGGAGGGATGAGAGAATGTTCTATGTGTCTAGCTGGTGAGGAGGATGGGGCAGTAGGGAAGGGGGAATCGCAGGCAGAAGCGGTGGAGGGATGAGAGAATGTTCTATGTGTCTAGCTGGTGAGGAGGATGGGGCAGTAGGGAAGGGGGAATCGCAGGCAGAAGCGGTGGAGGGATGAGAGAATGTTCTATGTGTCTAGCTGGTGAGGAGGATGGGGCAGTAGGGAAGGGGGAATCGCAGGCAGAAGCGGTGGAGGGATGAGAGAATGTTCTATGTGTCTAGCTGGTGAGGAGGATGGGGCAGTAGGGAAGGGGGAATCGCAGGCAGAAGCGGTGGAGGGATGAGAGAATGTTCTATGTGTCTAGCTGGTGGGGTGGCGTAAGGGGAGGCATGGGGGACATGGGGCATCGGGCATTGGGCAGCGTGGGGAATGGAAGTGCAGGGGAGGCGAAGAGAATGTTCTGTGTGTTCAGCTGATAGGGTGGGTGGGGTAAAGGCGAAGGGCGGCATGGGGGAATGGCGCATGTTGCATTGGGCGTGGGGGAGAGAGCAGGCACTAGAAAATGGAGGGTAGACGAAGAGAATGCTCCTGATTCATTTGCAGCTGATAGGCGGGCGGGTGGGTGGGGAGGCGCAACGGATGGCATGGAGGAGGGACGGGGTGGGATGGGAATGACTAGCAGGCCAAAGAGATGGAGGGCAGTAAAAGAAAATGTTATGCGTGCCAGCCGGCGCGGAGGCGCAACAGGCATCAAGCTTGAACTGAGACAAGTAAGGAAACACCACGAAGGTCAGAGGCAGAAGGTAGAAGGGGATGCAGGCAGCTAGCTAGCCGTGACTAAGCAACACATTCCGAATTTTGAGGCGTTACAAAAAGAAACAGCCATTACTCAGAAACACATGTGTGACACTCGTCGTAATTTCCATGCAGGCTGCACGAAAACACCTGGTATCGATCTAATCCCCCCCCCCCCCCCCTTGCACCCCTGCACCCCTGCAACCCCGCACCCCTGCACCCCTGCACCCCTGCATTCCTTTTGAGGCGCCTCAAAAGTCACCCCTGCACCCCTGCGAATCCGCGACCCCTGGAATTCCTGTAGCCTGTACCTGTATGAACTCGCCTCTTGGGTTCTTCCTCCCTGTTTTCTCGGGCACATTGATCACCTGCAACCAGGAGGGGGAGAGAGGGGGAGGAGAGAGAAGACCCGCACATGAGACTTCTGAGACGTCTCAAATTTCTAAAGTTTTTCCTCCCGTTTTCTATGGCACGTTAATTACCTGCAACCAGGGGTGTGAAACCCGAACAAGAGTTCATACACTGATCACAAGGCACCTTCAAGCTCAATCCCCTATTCACAGGGCCATCTTCGCGAGTCCAAAGCAGCACCTACTGTACTCCCTCCCTCCCTCCCTCCCTCCCTCCCTCCCTCCCTCCTCCCTCCCTCCCTCCCTCCCTCCCTCCCTCCTCCCTCCCTCCCTCCCTCCCTCCCTCCCTCCCTCCCTCCCTCCCTCCCCCCTCCCTCCCTCCCTCCCTCCCTCCCTCCCTCCCTCCCTCCCTCCCTCTCTCTCCCTCCCTCCCTCCCTCCCTCCCTCCCTCCCTCCCTCCCTCCCTCCCTCCCTCCCCCCCTCCCTCCCTCCCTCCCTCCCTCCCTCCCTCCCCCTCCCTCCCTCCCTCCCTCCCTCCCTCCCTCCCTCCCTCCCCCCCTCCCTCCCTCCCTCCCTCCCTCCCTCCCTCCCTCCCCTCCCTCCCTCCCTCCCTCCCTCCCTCCCTCCCTCCCTCCCTCCCTCCCCCCTCCCTCCCTCCCTCCCCTGATGACACACGTCACGTCCCTATCACCTCACACTCCCCTCATAACCCTTGTAAGCAGGGAAAACTCTGCACACCCAACCCAACCTCCCTCGCTACTCACAGCTCCTCCAGCATCCTCAGCAACGCCTGCTGCACGCCCTCCCCTGACACGTCCCTGCCTTCCCACCCCCCTACCTCCCCCCCCCCTCACCCCGCCCTCACCCCTCCCTTTCACTCACAGCACCCTCAAGCATTCTCAACAGTGCCTGCTGCACGCCCTCCCCTGACACATCCCGCGTGCTCGTTATGCCCTCCGCCTGCCCAGTGAAGAGCGGATGCGAGGGAGGGGGGGGTGAGGGGAGGTGAGGAGGGAGGTGAGGGGGGGGGTGGTGAGGGGGGGTTGAGGGGAGAGGTGAGGGGGAAGGTGAGGTGGGACGTGGGTGGGGAGAGGAGGGTGAGGCGGAAGAGAGGGCGAGGAGATGGGGGAGCAACAGCAACACATGTTGGTTTTTTGAGAATTCTCAAAAAGCAACACATGGTAAGAAAGTGCTGAGGGATGTTCGTAAGGAGCTCAACCTTCTTAATGAGCTTGTCACTCTCATCAATATACACAATGCCCTGCTGCGCTGCTGATGGCATGGCAACAGCAGCAATGCGCTGCTGCTGCTGCTGACACCTGGTGAGAAAGGTTCGAGAGTTCTCCTTTCTTAAACGTACCTTCTTGCTGAGCTTGTCAATCTAGTCGATATACACGATGCCCTGCTGTGCTGCTGCTCTGATGGGGTGGAGAGCAGCACCTACAGAGTGTTAGTGCTGCTCGTACGGCTGGTGGGCTCACCTTCTTGGTGAGCTTGTCAATCTAGTCGATATACACAATGCCCTGCTGCGCTGCTGCTCTGGCGGGATGGGGGGCAGCACCTACCTAGTGCCAGCACCCCTACTGAGCCTACCTTCTTGGTGAGCTTGTCGATCTCGTCGATATACACAATGCCCTGCTGCGCTGCTGATACACTGAAGTTGGCGCTCTGAGGAAGACAAGCGGACAGTCACTCGCACCACACACAACACAACACACACCACCATGCACATTGCACACACACACACGCACGCACGCACGCACACACACACACACACACACACACACACACACTCACTCACACGCACACGAACACACACACACACACACACACACACACACACGTCATGCAGGTGGGCATGCACATTAGGAGGAAGAGAATTGGTGAATGTGAGGAAGAAGGGACGAGGGAGGAGAGATGGAAGGCGGAACAGAGGGGAGGGAGGAAGGAGAGAGGTAAAAGAAGCGAGAAAAGGAAGGGAGGAGAGGGGGAGGAGGGAGGAGTAAGGGAAGGAGGAAAGGGGGAAGAGGGAGGGATGGGCCGGGTTACAAAGAGCAAAATGGGTCTGTCTGACTGCCTTTATAACCCGCTGGGATGGGGAAGGAGTTTATCATCCCCCACTTGTGCTGTATAAGCTTGATTGACTGAGCTGACATCCCAAGCATTTTAAATCGTAGACGCACTTAAATCACACTAATGTTTGACAATCTCACAAGGGTTCTTTGTATCATACGCTTCAGAGATCCAACAGATAAGTGAACCCCCCTCTATAATGCAACAGATTATAGAGAATCATCCCCACGTCCCCCCCACATACCCTGCCTGCACTGCACGACAAATAGTGCCACTGCACTCTCTCGTTTCCCCCCTCAACCAAAAGAACCTCTTCTATCCCTCACCTGCAGCAGCTTATAAAGGATCATCTCCACGTCCTCCCCCACATACCCCGCCTGCATGACAAACAGCACCAATTCCCTCCATCCCCCCTTTTACCCCCAACCCCTTCTTTCTATCCCTCACCTCCAGGTGATCCTAAAAAAGACTCATCATCATCTCCACGTCCTCCCCCACATTTCCCACCTGCACAACAACTTGCACCACTACCCCTCCTCCTTCCTCCCTCCCACCCACACCCCCCTTCCTCTTCTATCCCTTACCTGCAGCAGCTTATAAAGGATCATCTCCACGTCCTCCCCCACATACCCCGCCTGCATGACAAATTGCACCACTAGCCCCCTCCCTTCCCCCCCAACCCCCCACCCACACCCCCCACTCCTCTCCTATCCCTTACCTGGAGCAGCTTATAAAGGATCATTTCCACGTCCTCCCCCACGTACCCCGCCTGCACGAGGAGCAACAGCAGAGCAGAGAAACGGAACAAATGGTGCAGAGAGGTGAATGGAAGGCAGACGATGGGCAGAGAGCAAACAAGGGTAAGAAAGAGAGACGGCATGAGAGATCAGAGAATGAGAAGAAGGGATGTATGCAAGTTGCTAACAACGCACCTGAGTCGTGTTTTGAGTCGACTCGGAAGAAAGAATGTATGAGAGCGCGTTAACGACGCACCTGAGTGAGGGTGGTGGCATCAGCAATGGCAAACGGCACGTTGACAAACCGAGCCAGAGTCTTGGCTAGTAGGGTCTTTCCTGCACAGACAGACACAAGGGGCATAGTGAGGGGCAGCAGAGCATGGGATATGTTGACACTCTTGCCATGGGTTTGAGGTGCCTCAAAGGGCAAACAGCACGTTGACAAAGCGAGCCAGAGTCTTGGCCAGTAGGGTCTTGCCTGCATGCACGCGCGACAGTGTGTGGGGTAGCAGGGGATGGAATATCTTGACACTCTTGCCATGGGTTTGAGTGAGGTGCCTCAAAGGGCAAACAGCACGTTGACGAACCAAGCCAGAGTCTTGGCCAGGAGGGTCTTGCCTGCACGCATGGGTCAGTGCGTGGAGCAGCAGAGAATGGGAACTCGTGAGCGCTTCAGACGCAAGTAGGGCCTCGCCTGGATGCACGTTACTCCACTCCACTCCACTCCACTCCACTCCACTCCACTCCACTCCATTGCACTGCACTGCACTGCACTGCACTGCACTGCACTGCACTGCACTGCACTGCACTCCACTCCACTGCACTCCACTGCACTCCACCGCACTGCACTCCACTCCACTCCACTCCACTCCACTCCACTCCACTCCACTCCACTCCACTCCACTGCACTCCATTGCACTGCACCGCACTCCAGTGCACTGCACTGTTCGTTTCCACCTGCACATCATGCCATTGTGCAGCTGCATGTAGGCTGGCTGCACGTGAAGGTTACCCCACCACCTACGACTGAAGTCCCGAGCGTACCTGACCTCACATGCATAGATGCGCGCTCGGGACGTCAATTGTGCGTGTTATGGGTCCCATAATCCCATCCATCAGCAGCACGTTACTCTTCTCCACCTGCGCCTAGCACCATAGCTGCACGGCACTGCTAGACTACCCATATGCCGCAGTGGTACCTCCTCAACCCACCTGACCTTGTTGGGCCCATAAGCAGCACGTTGCTCTTCTCCACCTCCACTTAGTACCATGAGGCACAGCACAAATGCACATATGCTGCTCGTATGTTGCTTGTACGCTATACTGTGGGTGGGTACCCTGCACTGCTATGTTCGTGCATGGTGCACCCTCCTGACCCCGTGGGTCCCATGAGCAGCACGTTGCTCTTCTCCACCAGCACCTCGTCGCATGAGGCACACTGATGCTGCCCTGCTCGCATGCTATTCCACACACATGATTGAACCCTATGCTGCTTGTCAGCAGTTCAAACCAACCCACCTGACCCCGTGGGTCCCATCAGCAGCACGTTGCTCTTCTCCACCTCCACCTCGTCCTCCTCACCCCCGACCAGATTCTCGCACGCCCTGTGAGACAGGAGATGGGGAGATAGGAAGCACAGGAGATGGGGAGATGGGGAGATGGGGAGTGGAGGCGGATAGAAGGAGTACTTGAGCGTTCCTTTTCTCAGCCTTCAGCTCGCCCTCCTCTCCGCCCCCCACCAGGTTCTCACACGCCCTGCGAGCACGGGTTGAGACGAGAGAGGACGGGAGTGGGTGCGAGAGAGTGGACAAGGGGCAAAGTGCGGAGCCACTAGCGATGAGAAACATCTCCCTCTCCATCCCTCACCACACACAGCACACAGCCCCTCTCTACACACGTCGAGTTCAGACTGAGACGCTCTAAACTGCACCTTGCACACAGCACAACTCACAGCCCCTCTGCAATCCAACCTCACTTCCTCTCCCACTCTCCGGAACCACGCTCCTTCCCTCTCTCCCTTCCTCTCCTCCCGCTCTCAACCCTCTGAACCTCCTCTCACCCCATTCAACCCCTTCTCACCCCTCAGGCAGGTTGGCAAGTCTTTCCCGCTTCTGGTTTTCAAGGAAGATGCGCTTGTAGTGGTTGTATACCGCCACAGCCAGGACCTGTTGAAAAGGATTCAATAAGGAGGTCGAAATGAGCTTATAAAGAGGATGCACCTGTTGGGATGGGTTAAACACGGGATCTTGAAGGGCTTTTAAGGAGGATGCACTTGTGGTGGTTGTACACTGCCACTGCTAGCACCTGCAGAAAATTATTTAAAAAAAAAAATGGCGCTCAGAAAGCGCTTATAAGGAGGACACGCTTGTAGTGTTTGTACACCTTTGTGAATATTCGAATGACAATAAAAACAAAGGCTGTTCATAAAGAGTAGATTGTAAAGGTGCCCACACCATGTTAGCCTGTCAGCAACTGCCACGTCACCAGCACCTGCTCACCTTTTTCGCATTATCCTGCCCGATCACAAATTCATCCAGCGCGGCCCGGATCTGCTTGGGAGTAGGTAGATTCTCCCCCAGATTCGCCCCTCCCCAGTTGTGTTCTGTGCCGTCCCCCCCTCCCCCTGCCGCCCCAAAACAAGGCACATGCCCCTCCCTCCCCTCCCTCCCCTCTCGCCCTTCCCGCCCCCCTCCCCTCCCTCCCCTCCCTCCCCTCCCTCCCCTCCCTCCCCTCCCCTCCCCCGCTCTGCTGCCCCCTCCCCCGCTTCTCCCCCGCGCCCGCGCCAGGGGCGGGGGGAATCTGCGTGGGCGCGGCCAGGGGGGAAGGGGGAGGGGGCGGGGAGGGGGGACCTCTGGGGGCGTGCAGGAGGGGGGAGGTGAAGCTAGGGGGATACGCGCTGGCGCTGCTTCCGCCACTGCCACTGCCAGGGCTTCTTTTCCTTCCGCTGCTGCCAGTCTGCTGCCCCTCAGTCCGCCCCTGCCCCTGCCTCTGCGCTTTCCCCTCTCCCCCCACGCCTGCCTGCGCCTGCCCCTGCTGCCCCTGCCCCTGCGCCCACGGGTGCCCCCCCCACCCCTGCAAACTCGCCTGGAACCGATTCACATACTCCTCCCGCGCATCCCTCCGCGCGCTCCCCCCTTCCCCTCCGCTCGCCCCGCCCATCATCCCCTCCAGCTCGCTGCGCGCCGACCGCCCGCCCGGGCGGCCGTCCGGGCGGCTATCTGGGCGGCTGAGCTGCCGCCCAAAGCGGGACCACTGCCAGGCGGCGTCAGAGGCGGGGGGTTCGGGGGGAGTAACGGCGGAAAGGGGGAACACGTGTTTCCAGTCCGCCTCATACCAGTCCGCCTCCACAAACTCCCCGACTCTTGCGCCCCCCCCGCCCCTGCCCTTCCCCAGTTCTTCCCCCTTTCCCCCGCTTGCGCGCTGCCCTTCTGCCGTCACTTGCGGCTCCTCCTCGTCTTTCCCCTTCCGCCCATTCTCCGCCTCCCCTGTTCCCCCCGCCACTGGCCTGTCGGTGAATCGCTGGCACTGGCGGCAGAACAGCACCGCGCGCCCGCTGGCGCGGGCCTCCGCCGTGGACATGGGGGGAGATAGCGCGGACGCGGAAGGGGAGGAGGGGGAATGGGGGAAGGCAAGCGCGGGAAAAGAGAGGAGCGAGAGGGGCGCGCGGCAGTCGGGGCACAGCAGCTCCTCGTCCCCGCGCCCATTCCCCCCTCCGCCTCCACCACGTGCTCCCGCCGCTCCGCCACCCCCGGAAACCGCGCCGTCGCTTCCGCCTCCCCCCACACCGCCCTCTCCGTTCCCCCCATCTCCGCCCGCTCCCCCTTCCGCCGTCGCCGCTATTTCCACCCACACGGGCACCGCCCACGCTCCCCCCGGCCCCTCGAGGCGCGCGTTGGGCCACGCGGCGGGGCGGCTAGCGCAGATACCGGCGGAATGGGCGCGCTGTGCGCTAAGCATAGCGGGGGAAGTGGGCGCAGCGGGGAAGCTGTTAAACGAGAGTGGAAAGTCGTCCGCCCATTCCGCTTCCTGTGCGACGATTCGAGGCGACGCCACCTCGGATGGCGACGATGCTGCGAAAGTGTGCGACAAAGGGACGAGGGCATCGCATGAGGCGACTGCTTCGTTTAACGAATCCACGACGTACCCTTTATTAGTTTCTCTGTTACGATACACATTCCGTCCTTCTCCCTCTGCGACGAACCAGCGACCACCGTGCGACGACGACATCGCGGGCGACACGTCGACGAACGGTCGCATGAAATCCTCGACTGGCTGCGACAGGCATCGCAGCGTGCGGCGCCTTGACCTGTCGCCGTCGCTCGAATGAGAGAAACCGTCCCCTAAACCGTCTCGACCATCGGGGGAAACCCGAAACGCTGCCACGTCATTCGGTCCATCTGAGCAGCCGCCACGTGTCGAGAGTGCACGGGCGGACGTGGAACGACCCACAAAACCCGCGGAGGAGGCGACGCTTACGGGTGGTAACGCTTTGCGACTAGCGGCGAGGGGATACGAGAGGCGAGCGGTGTGTAGGGCGAGGCGAGGGGTGTGTTGCGACGGTAGTGAGTGGCGGCGACGTGCGGGGATGGACGGTGCGACGCTAGGCGACGAGAGAGAGGCGGCAGGCGACGACAGTCCGCGTCGCAGCAGTAGCAGCGAGGAGTAGGAAGAGCAGGACGGCACGCGATTGGATTCTAGGGATGCTGACGTGGCGTAAGATAGGGTGCGCGACAAGAGCGAAAGCGCTCGCCTTCTGTCCGCTCCCCCTCCCATTCTCCGCTCACGGCTAGCTCGAGCCTGCCTGTAGTTAGGGATTTATGCAACGAAATTGCGAGCAGTGGGAGGTGGCGGTCTGTGTAAAAATAGATTAGTAATCTGCAGCGTGCGACGCGAGAAAAGCGGGAAGTGATACAACGTGAGATTCTAAATCCCGCTGCCCCTGGACGCACAGGGATGCAGCGACTGGCGGAAACGGCCTGCCGAAAATCGCGGTTGACGTGACGACGGCAACCCGAATACTAATCGACTTCTCCCCGTTTCTCTGCGTGCACTATGTTAGCAGCCGAGTGTCCAGATTCGGGCTTTTGAATTGAGCCAAACTGTGCCTGCTGATGTGAGGCAAGGCAACCTACCACCCGCTCGGAGTACAGACAGTCGGTGCTCATTTCAAGAACACCAGGTTGGCGGGCGGCATGTGCGTGATACGAGTTTGGGGCATTTCGTCATGTTCGCCCTTGTCGCCACGGGCAAAATTGTGATTGTAAAATGAAATTGGAATTTGAAACGAGTCCGGGGGTTTAAGTTCGTAACCAGGTAAACAATTCTGATGACGGGCAATCGCTGTTGTTTATGAACTGTAGATGTTTTTCTTCCGCAACTTGGTGACTGTACCCGAAATCAGCACAATCACCACTCACAGGGAAAACGTTCGCGAGTGACTAATTTTCTTATAGTAAAAAAGCAAATTTTTGTGATAGGCTGAGCATCGACTGTACAATAGAAGTGTACACCTGATTCTTGTTTGAGCTTCCGGACCTTGCCTTACTCTATAGGTGTTTAAGTGGTTCATGTAATGCGCAAGGTTTCGTCAATTCAAACCTAGCAAAAATGGGCTTATAAAAACATTGAAACTCACCGTTGACATTTTGACTTCGTTCTCTTCAGTCTGACTTCAGGTTTCCGTGGTTTCAGTGTTCATAATCACTGCAACTAGTAAACTGGGTGCAAATGGCTGGCGCAAAAACCACGAGTGCAGACTTTTGATAAGTTCAACGTGAATTTGCGTACAGGGGTTGAGCATCATGTGTATTTGGGTGTAACTCGTGACTTGCGGGAGAAATGAGGTGAATTGTCGGAAGACCCAAAGTGACCCAGAACCCTGGCAAATCAATGTTCGGAAGACCCAAAGTGGGCCACTTCGGGTCTTCCGAACCTCCATCTGAACCTCCACTTCGTGTCTGAGGGCGCGTTCCTGGCTAGTGTAAAACTTCCGGTCTTCCCGGGATGACACGAAGCTCGCCCCACAGCTCGCCCCACTTCGGGTCTTCCCTCAAAAATTTGCCCCTGGCTCGGAAAACACGAAGTTTGGCCGGAAGTTTGACACGAGCCAGGAACCAACCCTGACACGAGTTAGGAATGGGCCCTGAGTTGGGAAGGGTACTGCTTGCTTGCCCCCTTTTATTTTCGCGAACGGAGAGGAACAAGCAGCAGATTCTCGAAAAGGGTGGAAAGGCAGCATGGCTAGCAGCGCAAAAACATTTCCTGGCCAAATTGGTAGCGGTATTCAGTGTGTGTAGTGTTTCTAAGCAACACCAGGAACGAGGAGGAATACCGTCTAAAAAAGGCAGAAACACGTTTCGCGACCTTCATCTAGTGTTGTTTTTTCAGACAGAACACCCCTGATTTGACAGCGTGGAAAGATCATCCAGTGACATGGTATGCGTGTCAAGGTGCGCGCAGAACCTAACCGGATCTCCTATTGGTTCAGGGAGTATCTCATTCAGCCAATAAAACAGCTTCCCTCCTACAACCCCACTTCTTACTTCTCCCAGCAACCAATCCAACCCGACGCCCACCAGAATTCTGGGCAGTGGTAGGACTGTACGTTCATGAAAGAAATTTCGCACTGTACGTACATCGTACAGATCTCTTGTTTTTGCCGAATGTTTCTGAATCGCGGACAACACCGCGGCTAGAACCTACAAATATCATCCAGCCCTCCTCGCTGAGCCTAGATTTGACCAGCTTCGCCAGCTGTAGTTTCATTCTGGCCGCTGCGCTCCCTCCTCCCTCTGTTTGTCTCTCCCCACTTAGATCTCTCCGCGTCTTCCAAGGTCGTGTTCCGTGGCCGCGGAGGGCAGGCGAAATGGCCAGCGTCGTGCGTCCGTTCTTCCGAGCCGCGGTTCTGCCCAACCGGTTAGTTTGTAGAAGCATTTCGCACCGATCCTTACCACTGCGCACACGCGCTCCCTTCGTCCATCCTTCGTTCACTCCCCTCCTGCCACGTGTCACGCGCGGAAGCCCCGCCATAGCCGGCGTCCGCGCCAGAATAGGGCAGGCGCGCGCACTGGCAGCGGCAAGTTCGCAGGGCGGGGCGGAAGCGTGTGGCGGAGCGGGCGGGGGGGACGCTGGGGGCGCGGGGGCCGCGGAAGGCGGGGTTGGCGCGGGGAGCGGGCCGCGGCTGGTGATTTACAGCCGCGAGGGGTGCTGCCTGTGCGACGGGCTGAAGGAGAAGATCGACACGGCTTTAATGATGGGGACTGAGAGCAGCGCGTTAGACGGCTTGCAGATTGAGGTGCGTGCGTGGTGGGGGGAATGCGCGAGGGGTGCTGCCTGTGCGACGGGCTGAAGGAAAAGATCAACACGGGTTTAATGATGGGGACGGAGAGCAGCGCGCTGGAGGGTCTGCAGATTGAGGTGCGTGCATGGTTGGGGTGAAAGGGAAAATGCGCATGGGGAATGTGGGAGATACGCGGGAGGGAGGGGGAGAAGATTGATACGGCGCTGATGATGGGGACTGAGAGCAGTGCGCTGGAGGGATTGCAGATAGAGGTGCGCAGAGGGTGAGGGGAATGCGGGAGGGGGAGAGAAAGGGGGGAGAAGATCGACACTGCGCTGATGATGGGGACTGAGAGCAGCGCGCTGAATGGCCTGCAGATTGAGGTGCGCGGAGGGTGAGGTTGAGGGGAAGGGGGACTGTGCATAGGGTATGGCGCAGGTGCCAGGGGATGGGAGGGGAGGGGAGAAGACCGATACGGCGCTGCTGATGGGGTGTGGGCGTGCTGCGTTAGAGGGGCTGCAGTGTAGTTTTGAGGCGCCTCAAAACGGGGCTACAGTGCAGATTGAGGTGCGCGGAGAATGTGGGGAGGGTATTGGAGAATGCACATAAGATATGCGGGAGGTGCGGGGACGGGAGGGGGGGTTGATCGCTACGGCTCTGCTGGTGGGGTCTGAGATCGATAGAGCAGTGCGCTGCAAGGACTGCACATTGAGGAGCGAGGGGGGGGGGGCGGGGGGGTGAGGGGAATGCGCATGGGGAATGCGGGAGGGGGGGAGAAAGGGGGAGAAGATCGATATTGTGCTGCTGATGGGGTCTGAGAGCAGCGCGCTGCAAGGACTGCAGATTGAGGTGCGGGGGGGTCCCCGTTCCTCGTTCTGCCATCCTCCATCCCCTCCACATTCCCCCATTTCCATTCCCCCTTCCCCCGCCCCCAACCCCCATCCCCCATCCTCCACTCCCCCATCACACGTTCCCCATCCCCATGCCCCATCCCCATGCCCCATCCCCCATTCCCAGTCCCCATTCCCATTCACCCTTCCCCCGCCCCCCCAACCCCATCCCCCATTCCCCATCCCTCATTCCCCATCTCCCATCCCCCATCCCCCATTCCCCATCCCCCATCCCCCATTTTCCATCCCCCATCCCACATCCCCCTTTCCATCCCCCTTCCCCATCCCTGAATCCCCATGCCCCACTTCGCATCCCCCGATCCCCATCCCCCATTCCTCCATCCCCCATTCCCAATCCCCCATTGCCCATCCCCCATTCCCCATCCTCCATTGCCCATCCTCCATCTCCCATTCCCCATTCCCTATCCTCCGTTCCCCATTCCCCATCCCCGCTTTCCCCTCCCCCATTCTCCATCCCCACTTTCCCCTTCCCCCCCATCCCCGTTTTCCCCTCCCCCTTTCCATCCCCCTTCCCCATCCCTGAATCCCCATGCCCCACTTCGCATCCCGCGATCCCCATCCCCCATTCCTCCATCCCCTTTCCCCGTCCCCACTCCCCATCCCCCCTTCCTCCATTGCATTTCCCCAACCTGTGCTTGCTTTCCATGTGCTTATGCTCTCCATTGCAATTCCCCTACGTGCTTGTGTGTGCATGTGCATGTGCGCGGTGGCAGATGCGCGACATAACAACGAGGCAGCAGTGGATGGAGGCATATCAGTACGAGATCCCAGTCATGATGCGAGTGACGGTGGACCAATCAGGGAACACTGTAGAGGTAAGTGTGCTTTTTGAGAATTCTAAAAACAGAACACTGCATGATGATCCTTCCTACTTAACATCTTTGTACTTGCTTTGACATGCATTTCTAATTCACTTTGGGGTTCTTTATCAGCATCCCCCATTTCCTCCCTTCCCCCCCCCCCTTCCCTCCGTCACTCCCCCCCTCCCTTCCTCGCTCCTTCCCTCCCGCACTCCCTCTTTCACTCCCCCCCTCCCTCCTCTCTCTCCGCTCTCCCAGTCCCTCATTCCGCGCCAGTCACCCCGGGCATCAGTGGAGCGAGTGAGGAAGGGAGTAAATTCCAACTGTTATCAGCTTTCCCCTCTCCCTCCCCCCTCTTCCCCCTCCTTCCACCTCCCCCCCCCCACAGACCCTCATTCCGCGCCAGTCACCCCGGGCATCAGTGGAGCGAGTGAGGAAGGCACTAGAGGCCGCATTCTCAAGTTCAACCTAAGGCGCGCCTTCCTATGCACGTGCTCTCTCTCTCTCTCTCTCTCAGCGCCATGGTGCTTCTGTTTCTTCCATCAGTCAAGTTTGGAAGAAAACACTTGCAGACATGGCCGGCTACCGTTGGCACTGTTGTTGAAGGGGAAAACAAATCAATAAGCAGCACAATAAAAAGAAACCCCTCTTCTAAAGTCTTAATGTCATGAACTTTGTGCCTTCATCCTCAGATTCCTTCATCCAGGCCCCTTCACAAGCACCCCCATTGTGCCAGGCCATGACTGGTCAGTCAGCTGCTTGGATTAGACTGCAATAAGGAAAATTTGTTGTCGTTGACAGCATTTCTTCTGTTCTTTCTTCTCTTGCTCTGTAGAGGCTGGCAGAACCCTAAGCTGTCCTGAAGCTGGTCAATTTCTACGAAATTTCATACGAAAAGAAAGTTTCCACATTAGATTAGCTGGGCTTATTACGGGCTTGTATCACCCAATAAGCTCAAAACTCGCATCCCAAAGATAAGCACAGATTCACTGTACTGTGTTACTGACACCCTCCTGCCACGAGTTCTGACAGCGCGACCGAGCTTCCCGCCTTTTCATCCCTCCCACCGTTCGTCGCGCCGCGCCTGTCTGCTCCTCCCCAAAGGAAAGGATCGCTCTTGTGGTGGTGGGAGAGAGACCGAGAAAATCTGAGGTTCTTCTTGGGAACGCCTTCCAGTCAAATTCAAGAGCCATATTCTGAAACTGGATGCACTGAGCAATCTTCTAGGTACGGAAAACTGTGCCACTGGTTGCTGGAGGCCTTGGAAGCAGGGGGAATGCTAAAAGCTTGACTAGATTTGACACTCTGTAAACTGGGAGAGATGTAAGCGAGGGTCGGTTAGTTGGACGTTGAGAATTAAACCTACGATTTAGGAGGTCGGTTATTATCCAGGTTAGTGCCGTGTTAGGCGTGACGTAACCGCAGCAATGCGCGCGACTCCGTCTTGCGCACTCGCGGAGATCGCACAGCGCGCGTGCGCGACATCCCCGGCGACGATGAGCAGGCGCGATTCCGCGGAGCAAACCTCGAAGCCCGTTTCTCGGTCAGGCACGCCAGATCCCCGTTTCGGCGCATCCAACGGCGGAGATGCGCCGATGCCGTTGTACCACAAACCGCGGGGCAAGCGGGAAGGCCTGATTTACCGCCTGGTGGCGTTACTGCTGCAGCTGCGCCTCTCCTCCACATCCGTTGTTCTCTCTGTGCTCGCGATTCTCCTCGTCTCGTTAGCGCTGGTCGGACGGAGAGGGACCGATGCGAGTTTGGATTATGGCGATAATTTAATGGCGGGTAGTGAAGGCATAGAGGTGATTCCGATCGTCGCAGGCGACGCAGGCGACGCGGGAGGCGTGACGTGGATGGAGGTCGAGCGGCTCGCGAGGGACGGCGCGCGAGCGCAGGACAGGTTCGGGTTCGGAAGCCTGAAAGGCGCGCACGGAGGCGACGGGGGGAGCGGAGAGAGCGGAGGGAACGGGGGGAACGGGGGGAACGGGGGGAGCGAGAATGTTGAAACGCTCGCAACCAGCGGAGAGAAAGGCACAAGCGACAAGGGCGAGACGGGCGAGGTGGTCGGGAGTAGCGGCATTTCTGCGGTTGACTCGATTGACTTAGTTGACTTCAAAAACTTGGTTGTCCACGCGGCAACCGATCTCCCGGACTTTATTCTCCTCCTGCTGCGGCCGCTGGCTCCATTAGGCTCGTCAAAATCAGACGTGGCAGCTGGTTACACGGCCGATGACGTGGTAGCTGCAGCTGGTAATCGATCTTCCGAGGGAGCCTCTAGCGGAATTGTTAGGAACGCGCGGTTCGGCCGGGCTCGAGTGTCGCAGCAGCAGCTGGAGCGGATAAAGGAGATGCAGTGCAGGTTCGTGAAAGGTCCGTTGACTGCTCGCACGCGCGTGCTACAGGTGTCGGCTGATGGGCTCGACGCTGTGGGCGACGTCGGCGACTTGAGCGACGTGAGAGACGTGGGCGACGAAAGAAGCAGCAGCAGTGGGAGTGGCAGCAACAGCAGCAGCAGCAGCAGCAGTAGCAGCAGCCGCGGGGCGGAGAGGGCGACGGGGGGGAGCAACAGGCGACGGTTGGCGACTGTAGGAGTGTCGCAGGAGCAGCGAGGGGACACGGGAGTGGGGGTGCAAGGGGCGGCCGGCGAGAAGGCAGGCGGGAACGAGTCGAGGGAGGAGGGAAGGAGAGGGATGGGAGATGGGCAGGTGGGAGGGATGGGAGGAGGGCAGGTGGGAGAGGTGATTACTGGTGTGATATACGTGCACTGTGCTCGGCCTCAGGGGGAGATTGCGACTGTAGCTGCAAACACAGGCAATAGCAGCAGCAGTAACAGCATCAGCGGAGGCAGTGACAGCAGCAGCGGTGCCAGCAGTCGAAAGGGTGTGCAACTGGCGCTAGAAGACAAGGCAGGCGGGCGGCTGGGCGGCCCCGTCGTGTGGCAAGCGCTGAACCACAAAAAGAGGCCGCCGCCCCTGGTGTACGATGCAGTGACGGTGCGGAGGGGGGAAAGGAGGGGGAGGGAGGGGCGGGAGGGGAGGGAGGGGAGGGAGGGGAGGGGGAGAGGTTATGATAGGAGGGAGGAGAAGGAGATACAGTGGAAGGGGAAGAGGGGGAGGAGAGGGAGGGGAGGGAGGGCGTGTATCTGTTTGTGAGGGGCCTGCAGACCAACCCGCACCTGCCACCTGTGCTGGCCAATGTGACGTGCGTGTTTGGGGCAGATGGGGGGACAGGGGGAGCTGGAAGCAGCGGAGGAACAGGGGGGACAGGGGGAGCTGGGGCAGGAGGAACAGGAGGGGCAGGGGGGGCTGGCGCTGGGGGAAGCGGCGGCGAGGAGGAAAGGGGCAGTGAGGGGGGAAGTGGCAGTGAGGGCGCGGAGCAGGTGGGGGTGCTGCGAGTGCCTGCGCTGGCTGCTGCTATGGAGGTGGTATTCTGCCCTCTGCCCGCCTCTGTTGGTGCTTATGCTGGTGCTGATGGTGGTACTGGCAGCAGCAGCAGCGGCAGCAGCAGCAGCCACAGCGGCAGGGACGGTACTGGGGTGGGTGCAGCAGCGGTGGTCGCAGATTTGGGCATGAGGGTGGTGACAGTGGAGTACGAGGGGCGGCTGTTCCCGTCTGTAGCGCTCTTTGACCCCGTTGACCCGTTTGACCAGCCCGAGGCGCCTCACGGGCAGCTGGAGGGAGACGAAGGATCCAACGGTCAGCATAGCAGCGATGGGAGCCAGAATGGTGGCAGTGATAGTGATAGTTGGAGGACTGGTGCTGGTTTGAATGCTGGCAGTGCTGTTAATGGCAGTAATACTCATGTGGGGACGAAACAGGCAGCGGGAGTGGAAGCAGGGGAGGAGGCGGGAGTCAGCATGGTGGGTCAAACCGGGTTGAACGGGATAGTGGGGGACGGCAGGAGAGGGGAGGAGGGGAGGAGGAGGAGGAGGGAGAAGCCGCACTTTGTGTGTGTGTGCACGATGATCTTCAACGTGGGGAAGTTCCTGCGCGAGTGGGTGGTATACCACCACTGGATGGGCGTGGATCGCATCTTCCTGTATGATAATAACAGCGAGGACAGCACGACAGCTGTCGTCGCCAGCCTGGCGCCGGACGGCGGCGCTCGGCTGGTTGTGGGCACGCCGGCCGGCCAGGCTGCGGCTGCGGTGGTGGCAGAGGCGGCAGCACGGGGAGGGGGAGGGGGAGGGGGAGAGGAGGAGGGACGGTTGGGAAGGTCTGGAGGTTTGGGAGGTATGGCTATGGCCATGGCAGGAGGAGAGGAGGTGGGGGTCGAGGGGGCCCAGTGGTGGGTGCGGGCGGGGTTTGTCGGATCTACTCACAACCAAAGCCACGCCACACCACCATCAGAAGCAGAAAAGACTCTCCCATCCCCCTCCTCCCCATCCTCACTCTCCTCCACCTCCTCCTCCACCTCTCCCTCTCGTTCCTCCTCCTCCTCCGCCCCGCACTCTCACCCCTCCACCCCAGTGGTAACCCTACACCCGTGGCCATGGATAAAGTCCCAGCAGGCGGGGTTCTCCCACTGCGTGCTGCGCGCAGCAAGGCAGTGCGAGTGGGTGGGCTTCATAGACGTGGATGAGTTTGTTGCCCCCAAGTTCATTGCGCATATCGCTGAGGGCAGGAAGGGGCTGGAGGGGGAGGTGAGGGAGAAGGGGGTTTTCATCCCGCATTTGCTGAGACGGGTGGTGAGGGCGAGTGAGAGGGAGATCGAGGAGGTGCTTGCGAGGAAGATGGGTGGGGAGGGGGGGAGGGGGAAGGGAGAGGGGGAGAAGAGGAGGGAGGGAAGCAGGCGGCGGAGAATGGCGGGTCGGGGCAGGGGGAGGGAGTGCGGAGGGGGGTTGGGGAGGAAGGGCGGACGAGTCAGGGTGTGAGGGAGGGCAGTGGAGCGGAGGTGCAGGGTGTGGCAGCTGCAAGGGACGGCGGGGTGGGGGGAGGTGTGGGTCGTAGACTGCTTGCTGATGCTTATGGGGGTGGGGGTGATGAGGAAGGTGAGCGTGGGGTTGAGGGTGGGGTTGAGCTTGAGGAGTTGGAAAAGGGTAGCAAAGGTAAGAAGCACGGGAAGGGAGGGTTGGGGGGAAATGACAAGGGGAGCAGGAGTAGCAAGAAGAGCAAAGGTGATCAGGCAACAAAGAAGAAAGGAAAAGGTAGTGAAGGGGATAAAAGCAAGGGGAAGCAGGCCAAGAAGAGTAAGCAGGCAAAGGGGGAAGCGGAGGAGGAGGAGGATGAGAAGGGAGAGGGGATGAGGAAAAGAGGGGTGGAGAAAAAGGAGAAGACGAAGAAGAGAAAGAAGGGCACTGGCGACGTTGACTCCAAAAGTGAATGGCAGGAAGGTGACAGCGAGAGCAGCAGCGACAGCAGCAGTGCCGGTGGCAGCGACAGGAACAGGGAGAGCAACAGTGTTGGTGGCAGCGACAGGGACAGCACGGCAGCAGGCAGCATGGAGAGCGAGCGAGCAGAGGACGATGTGCGGCCTTTGGGGCAGATCTCCTTCCCCTGTGTGGACTTCGGCCCCTCAGGCCTCACTTCGCACCCCCAGCAGGGCGTGTCGGTGGGGTATACCTGCCGGGCTCGCAAGCCCGACCGCCACAAGTCGTTTGTGCGTCCCGAGGCGGTTGCTGACTCGCTGCTGTGCCACATCCACCAGTTTGAGCTAAGGGAGGAGAAATACCGAAGTCAAGTGTTCTCCGGGAGGGTGCGACTGGCCAACATCAACCACTTCAAGTTCCAGGTGGGTTGTTAGCTGGGTTGTGATCAGGGTTGTTCGGTGGAAAAACTCGAAGTGCGCTTTAGTGGACTTGCTGCTATGCCAAATTCACCTGTTTGAGCTGAAAGAGGAGATGTACCGCAGCCAGGTGTTCTCTGGGAGGGTGGGACTGGCCAACATCAACCACTACAAGTTCCAAGTGGGTGAGTGGATGCAGGCAGGTGGATTGTTTGATTTCGGTCTCTCTTGCCCTTGACTTTTGAGTCGACTCAAATGTGAGTACCAACCATTAGGACTTCCAGGTGGGTTGTGCAGTGGGAGACGTGAAATGTGCGTTGGTAATCAGAATCCACCTCAGGTAGTCCCATCCCATTGCCCCCCTGTTTCTCTTCTGTCCTCTGTCTGTGCCAAGTATCAGCAGCGTGTTGCAACATACACCAAGGACTGGAACAGGGTGAAGCACTATCAGCAACAATATAACAGCTCGGTGCAGAGACGTTCGAGTCAAACTCAAACTTTACCTTGTTAGCCCCGTTGCCACCCTGTGCTTCTCCTGTGTTGTCCTGTCAGGTGTGGGACGAGTTTAAGGCCAAGTATCGGCGGCGAGTGGCGACATACACAAAGGACTGGAAGGGGGCGAAGCAAAACAGCAACGATTTAATACCTGGGCTGGGGACCGATGCAGTGGAGCCTCCTGATTGGGCGGGTCGGTTCTGCGAGCGCAACGACACTGTGTTGAGGGATTTTGTGAAGCTGGCCTTTGCTGTGAAGGACGGGAAAGGAGGGGATGGGAGGAATCGGACGTGCTTGGCGTGGGAGTGATGAATACCAGCAGTAATTGTATAAAATTTACGTTACTTAGTTTTGGCCACCAGCATCGATACCACAGCATGGTTAGGAGAGTTTTGTATACGAGAAAGCTTTCTGAACTTGTTTCGTATAAAGTGGATTCCTTCATGTGATGCTGATGCGGTACATAATTGTTGATTGCGTTTTCAAATTGGTGAAGATAATCAAAATACAGCACATAATCTCCACATTTACCGTACTCGATTCACTGCATCAAATCATTTCGGGTACTTACAGATGGAGACTACCCCTAGCGAACCGTTCCGTGGGGGTGCTTGCTTGTTTAACCGCTTTTGAACGTAGCAAACCGTATCAAACACCCATTAGCGCATAGCGTATGCGATCCGACCCTAGTACCACCAATTCGTCGCTTATTCCGTCTGCGTCGGGCACACATTCGAAGTCTGACAGAGTTTTACGGTATAACTTTTACGTGCTCTGCGCTGGTCTCTGGGGTGCTGCTGGACGCGGGACCCATGGCTGCCGCTTGCGCCTCGCATCCGCCCGCTCCCGCGCTGATTCCTCCGCCGATTCTTCCGCTGATTCCTCCGCTGCCCGATGACGTCAGCGTCGCGTGCCTGTCTCGCCTTAGTCTCTGGGACCTCGCGATCGCGCGCTGTGTCTCCCGCGGCTGGGCGGCGGCGATCGCGAGCGACGCGTTCGCGCAGCAGCAGCGGCGGCAGCAGGCGCTCCGCGCGCAGAGGGTGCGGAGGGTGGTGACGCGGCACGGGTGGGACTGCGCGTCATGCGCGGATTGTGCGGAATGCGCGTCGTCCCCTGCGTGCTGCTCACACATGGACGCCCGCAATAGTTTTGACGGGAGAGGCAAATGTGATATAAACGGGGGTGACGGCTACGTGTGTCTGTGCGCAGCGAGCAGGCGGCATCCGGGCCGGCTCGACAGGTTCGCCTTCGACCTCTCCGCACCTGCGCGCGCCGACGACCTTCCCCGCGCCTCCGCCTCCTCCGCCGCCTCCGCGTTTGCGGAGATTTCTAAATTTCGGGAAGGCTTGGGCACGAAATTGTGGGCACGGGAATCCGTCACGAAATGTGCACTCTATGTTGGGGCACGAAATCTTGTTGTAATGCCTTGAGAAAATTCTAAGTGTTGAGAAATTGCTTGAACATAGCTTCACTATGAAAAAGAGAATAATAGAATACAATGGGAAGGACCAGAACCATATAGGAACGAAGCGACGATAGTCGCGAACGTTCACGCAAAACGTTCAGACAACTACTCTAGCATGTGCGTTGCCAACTCAGCAACGGCAGGTGAAAATAACATGCCAGGTAAATTTTCTACCTAACTAGAATAGTTGTTCATGTTTCTGCTGTCAGAGGTCCACTGGAGATCCCCGATGATCCTAGGGAAGGGTTACAGGCATGTTGGCCTGGGGGGTTATGGGCGCACTCACTCGCTACACAAACAAGCCCTTTTATCCCAGTGGTTAGTGACTGGGATTCTGACATGGTATCAGAGCGAAGGTCTCGGGTTCGAATCCCGGTGTGTGCACCTCGGGCATCCCAGTGCGGGGGGGTGTCAGAGGTCCACTGGAGATCCCCGATGATCCTAGGGAAGGGTTACAGGCATGTTGGCCTGGGGGGTTATGGGCGCACTCACCCGCTATACAAACAAGCCCTTTTATCCCAGTGGTTAGTGACTGGGATTCTGACATCTGCAACATTTGCAGTTACACATGCTTCGCTTGTGCAATATAGTCACTTCCTTCGATTCGGTCCATTTCTGTTCCGCGTGTCAATGTCGACGACGGAGTGTACTGCGCGAATTTTTCCTCCAGGAGTCAGGACTTAGCCAAATTCGCCATGTACAACTTTTCCGCGCCTCCTGCCGTTTCGTAACCACGGGAAATCCCGTAACGGCGATCCATCGCGAAACCTCCCAGGGGCGCGAAAATCGCCCCAGCACAGACGCAAAAATCTCGATCCCACGCAGACGCGAACCAGCATGCAGTGTGAACATTTTCGCGGCTGCAGGAACGCGCTCTGCTGCGCGGACACTTTTCGCTCAATGCCCTCACACACGAAAAGCAGGCTCGTGCAGGGCCTTTCGCGTCAACACTCCCCCGCCCTGCTCGTGCCTGGACAGCTCAGGAGTTAGCACACCACACAAAGTGAAAAGCTAACTAATAAAATACAACAGGGTGACGAAACGAAAATTCGTCCGCGTGTAGCCACCACACGCATACTCACCGCACCAGCCACGTTGAAGGACGTGGCACCTACTTTCGCGTATTGTCATTTTCGTCGCCCGCAAGATCGACTTGCCCAACGGCGACGCCGCAACGGGTGTAGGCCGGGGAATGAAGCGCCTTCGTGAGGTAATCCGCGGGTTGCTCGCTTGTCGGAATGTACGTAAGCGCGAACTTCTTGCGCTTCACTATCTGCTGCAGCCAGAGGTAACACCTCTCCATGTGCTTCAGACTCCCCTTGAGCCCCAACCCTTCTGCAACCGCAATCGCCGAAGAATTGTCGACGTTGATGACGGTGGGAATTTTCGAGTCCAAGAGTTTGAACTCCGCAAGCTGGCAACGAAGTCGCCGCGCTTCCTTCCCTGCTTCCGTTGCAGCAATGTACTCCGATTCTGTTGATGACAACGTCACGCACTTGATCCTTTGGCTTGCCCACGAAACAGCAGCCCCGCCGAACACGAAAACGTAGCCACAAGTGCTGATTCGGCTCTCTTGGTCACCCGCGTCATCCGCGTCCGCGTATCCGACCAGAGTCAGAGATTCGGGTCCACCACCAAATTCGAGGGCGAAATCGCGGGTGTTCACCACGTAGTCGATGCAGCGATCCAGCTCCCTCCAGTGCTGGTCACTACGCACGGTCAGCCCGGAACCCAGCTTGCTGCACGCGAACATGATGTCGGGGCGAAGCGTGCTCGCGGCAAACTGCAGCGACCCCACTTTCTGGCGATACTCCTCCTCTTCGCGGGCTTGGTAGTCGTCGTCATCGAACGTCCGTTCGCTGTACGCGTCGACCGAGACTGGAGTTTTCGGGCGACGACCCGATTTCTCTTCGTCCACGAAACGTCGACGCAGCTTGTCCACGTACGTGCGTTGATGCAGCCACAGTTTTCGTGCCGGCCTGTCCCGCACGATTTCGAGCCCCAAGTACTTCTCCACGGGCGTGATTTCGCGCAGCTCAAACGCGCTTTCCAGCAGCTCGCGCAGCTCCTTCAGTATTTCGAGGCTGCGACTCGCGGCGAGCAGATCGTCCACGTACACGAGTAGCCAGCACCGCTCTCCGTCCGCGCCGTCCTTGAAGTAGAGAGCCTCATCGACTTGACTCTTCTTCCACCCGGCATCAAGGAGAACGTTGTCAAGTGCCTCGTACCACAGCAACGGACTCTGCTTGAGCCGGTACAAACTCTTCAGGAGTTTGCAGACTCGATTCGTGCCGTCGTTGTAGTACTCCGGTTGATTCATGAACAACACACGGTCCAATTTGCTCTGCACGAAAGCATTTTTCATGTCCAGCTGCATGATGTTCAAGTCGAGTGCAGCCGCAACGGACAGAAAAATCCGCAATGTGATATAGCTGCTGACAGGTGAGTAGGTTTCGTCGTAGTCGGCACCATACACCTGCGTGAACCCCTTCACCACCTGTCGCGCTTTCTCGCGAGCCACCGTGTCGTCCGCTTTGTATTTGGTCGTAAGAACCCAACGGTTCTTCAGGATGTTGACTCCGCGTGGCCTCGGCACCAGCTCCCACGTTCCGTTTTTGAGGAGGGTACGAATTTCTTCGTCCATCGCCGCTTTCACTGCTGCACCCTTCCAGCTCCCCAAACCTTCCTTGACGGTCATTGTTGAGATGTCCCACCGACGTTCCGTGTCGGCGACCATGTCGGGATCTAATTCGGGGAGTTTCGGATCTGCGTGAGAATCGTCAAGAAGGGTGTTGGCAAATGCGGGGCAGACCTTGCGGTAGCGAAGTGGGAGCACACCTTGCGCAGTGCGCCCGGAGCGACGGAGAGGAGGATTTTCGGTTGGAACGATTTCCGGGACCGTCTCAGCATCCTTCATTTTCGTGGCTCCGAGCAGCTCCCCTGTCTCCGTGTCACCCGTTTTCGTGCCTCTTAGCAGCTCCCCTGTCTCCGTGCCACCCGTTTTCGTGGAGCCCGTTTCGTGCGCGGTTAACGAATCGTCCGATCGACCGTTGGTGGCGCGAACAGAAGGCACTTCGCGTGGTGCCTCGTTTCTCCCCTCGTCACCAGCGGTCGAGGCGGAGGACAGGGACAACGGGATCGGGGACGATGGCTGCCCCGACTCCAAAGGAGAGGAGGTGACGAGAAACGGTGGTGGAGGCGAGGAGGGAGGAACCGCGGGTACCACCCGCGGATAAACCGATGGGACCGCGGTGTTCGGGACGGATGTTGGGACATGAGGCGGAGCCGTTGCGGGGGGAGGATGGAGGTCGGCGTCAATCTCCGGAGCCAACAGATCCGGCGTGGGGACAGGCGGAAATACGGGCGCAGGTCCACCGAGACGAGGTGCCACCGTTTTCGTGGCCTTCCATCATTCCAGGGAGAGATTTTCGTGGAAGACTGCTTCCACGGTCGTGACGACGCGATTTGCCACGAGATCCAACACCTCCCAACCTTTGCTCGCGGGCGAAACTCCAAGATGGACTCCCCACCGAGCCTTCGGCTCCAGCTTACCCCCGCGCTGGTGCTCTGGCACCATAAACTGCACCATGCAGCCCCAAACACGAGCAAGCGTCAGATCGGGCTTCTCCACGAAAATGAGTTCGTGCGGTGTGGTTCCCGGAGGGAGGGAAGCGCGTTCGAGGCAGTTGCGAATCCAAACAGCTTGCCGCAGTGCCAAGTGCCACCAGTGATGCTCCACGCCCATGTGCAGAAACATCGTGCGCACCGATTCCACAACCGTGCGCATCTCTCGCTCCGCCATCCCATTCTGCTGTGGGGTATAGGGGCATGTCAGATCATGAAT